AGCCATTCAGTATCTGTCTTTTTGTGATTGGCTTCTCTCATTTAGTGTAAGGTCTTCAAGGCTTATCCATAATGTAGCACATGCCACATTTTGTATGTACACTTATGTACATGCTACATACCCATTTTTCCATGCATGGACACTTGGATTGTTACTACCACTTGGCTATATTATGAATAATGTTACTGCAAACAAAAATGTACAAATACCTATTTGAATCCCTGCTTTCAATTCTTCTGAGTATACACTCCAAGGCAATGTGTCTACATTATATGGTAACTCTGTTTAATTTTTTAAGGAACCCCCATCCTGTATTCTATAGCAGCTGTACCATTTTACTTTCCCATCAACAGTGCACAAAGATTCCAATTTTTCCACACCCTCACTCCTGATTTTTCACAACCAATTCACATTTTTTTCAAAATATCATTCGACCATCCTGTGAAGGCCCAATAAACCTAAATCTGTCCTGTGCACAGAGAAAGATAGTTGTCCACAGCCTCTGCCAAAGGTGTGGTCCTTAATCGCCATCAACAGCAAGTGGTTCAGATGGCCTGTCTTGTCAAGGATGATGCCTTTATTTTTTAAAACTTTTATTTAAGAAATATAAATTTCCAAAGTACAGCTTATGGATTACAATGGCTTCTCCCCCCCATAACTTCCCTCCCACCCGCAACTCTCCTATCTCCCACTCCCTCTCCCATTCCATTCACATCAAGATTCATTTTCAATTATCTTTACATACAGAAGATCGATTTAGTATATATTAAGTAAAGATTTCAACAGTCTGCACCCACACAGAAACACAAAGTGTAAAGTACTGTTTCAATACTAGTTATAGCATTAATTCACATTATACAACACATTAAGGACAGAGATTCTACATGGGGAGTAAGTGCACAGTGACTCCTGTTGTTGACTTAAGAATTGACACTCTTGTTTATGGCATCAGTAATCTCCCTAGGCTCTTGTCATGAGTTGCCAAGGCTATGGAAGCCTTTTGAGTTCGCCAACTCTGATCTTATTTAGACAAGATCATAGTCAAAGTGGAAATTCTCTCCTCCCTTCAGAGAAAGGTACCTCCTTCTTTGATGGCCCGTTCTTTCCACTGGAATCTCACTCACAGAGATCTTTCATTTAGGGCTGTATATTATTTTTCTTATTATCTTTATAGCCAGAAGTGTTTTGGCTTTCCATACCTAAAGTACTCTCATGGGCTCTTCAGCCAAATCCAAATGCCTTAAGGGCTGATTCTGAGGCCAGAGTGCTGTTTAGGACATTTGCCATTCTATGAGTCTGCTCTGGGTGGGGCTACTTCACCTTACCCTGCTCTTCCGTGGATTGAAGCAATACCTTGGTACCATAATCTGATGTTCACTCTTTTCCTCTTAAAGGATGTTAAACAGTAACGGGGGAAAGAAAGCCAAATAAAAATAAAAGCTCTTGTGTTCTGAGTGAATCTAGCTCATGAATATTCCAAACTACTGGTCAAGCTCATGTAAGAAAAATAGATTTTCCTCTAAGTAAAGTTATAGCACTCCCTTCTGCCAATTTTTTGGTGGCTCTTGGCCTGTTAGAGTTGAGTCAGAGGGAAAATGTTGACCCCTTATTCCATCTCCCAGTTTTCTTTTCTGACTGAACGTCATATTTGTCAAATCAGTAACTCCAGAAGGATAGAGCATGGTGTCAAATGATGGCTTTGCTTGCTCATTTGTTTTTGCACCTGAGGAAAATGTGTAAAGTGTAGCAACAATATGATATCAGCAGTCTAGTTCACCTGATTGTATGTATCAACCTAGATGGTTGAGCATGTAGCTCAAAAGCAGATAGAGGAGATCAGTGCTTTGTTCTGTTTCATACGGCATCAATATTTCCAAGAAACAGCACCTCCTATAATAGGGAACAGTCAACTTTTGGAAAATAATTTGAAGTCTATTGATATTGAGTCTATTTGGAGATGGCTATAGGAAAAACGTCTGCTTTGGTTTGATGGGTTATGGCTACAGAAAGAAGGTCACTCCATCTTTACTTCACTCTTTCTTTGTGAAATAGCCATTCATGGTACAGCTGTTGGGTACAGAAGTTAAGCAACTTTGGAAGCCTTCATCCCATTATTAGAGTGCCTGGATTCAAGTTCCAGCTCCACTTCTGATTCCAGCTTCCTGCTAATGCACACCCATCGATGCAGTAGGAGATGTACCAAGTAGTTGGGTGCCTACTAACCATGTGGGAGATCCAAATGGAGTTCCTGTGTCCTGGCTTTGGCCTGGCCCAGCCCTAGTTGTTGTGGGCATTTGGGGAGTGAACCACCAAATGGAAGATTATCTGGCTGTGTGTCTTTCTCTATGAAATAAAAATAAATTAATTGATTTTTAAAAAGAAATAGTTATATATAAAGTTAGGCCGCTTGGAGAAACACAGCAGTCACATGGATGGTCATGATTACAATATGACAAAGGGAATATGAATCATGAAAATAATGCCCAGTTGTGGAAAGACGAAGTTGTAAATTCAATTGTCTTTTCTTACTGGAGGTCATTGCTGTTGAATATAGCTCATCATTATCAGTCTCCTAAATGATTTTGCATGGCAGAGAGGCCTCTTCACTGCTATAAAAAAGAAAGGAGTAAGGAAAAGGGAGAAAGGCAGGGGAAAGAAAGAGAAGTGAGGAAAAAAGGAAGGAAGGAAGGCAGGAAGGAAGGAAGGAAGGGGCGCAATATAAGACAGGCATGGACAAAGTGCTTTATGTGTATTATTTATTGAGTCCTTACAGCAACTTTATGAGGTAGAGTCTCATATATATTTTTACAGAAGAGAAAGCTAGACCAAGGAGGAGGTGTAATCACCTAAAGGTGCTCAGGATAATCTCAACCCTTGGCTCTCTCCCTGGCACTGGCCTTTCTTCTCTGAAAAATTATAATTGTCTATATTCAGAGGAAAATCTAAGAACTGCCTAGAAATGTGAGGATGTAGAACAGTAAACCCAAATTATGCAATCCAAAATTTTGAAGGCTATTGGGTAAAAACAACTAAAATACTTTAAATGGAAGATACACTTCAATCTTTAGTTCAGGGAAGCATTGTATATATTCAGTCCCAAATGGCTGTTAACCACCAGCAGTTTCCATTGGGTTTGTCCTTTGGATATTTCAGAACAGTTGTCATGGAAGTTCCTTCTAGATTAGAATCTACCTTCAAAGAGAAGAGGCCACACAGTGGAGCCTGATGGTCTGTTTGTCCAGGCAGAATTCATTATCTACTCCATATAAAACCATAAAAAAAAAGCATTTTACATTCCAATGATATGCCCAGATGACTTGTTTATTTTTTCTCTTTTGGTAATTACTGATAATAAAGTGACTATGGTGATGAAGGGAAGAGTTTGCCATGTATAGGCAAGTGCAGGATTCTGGCAGGGTGCTGTTTATTCCACTTCAGTTTTGAGGACATTCAAATACCTAACCTATTCCAACAGAATCTAGCAGCATTTTTTGTAACACAAACAAAAAATCCCACTCAGTTTTACTTTATACGTCAGCTGTTCCTTCATAGAAAACTAGGCACTTAGTTTCATTCCACTGCAGTTAATATGATTTTTCTGACTTTCTTTAACTTTCTATCAAGAAGCAACACACATATAGACCTGCAGCAACTGTGTGGGGTTTTGATTACTGTTGTGTTGAATCTATAAGTCAATTGAGGGAGATTTGACGTTGTATTTATACTCATGATTCTGATCCTTTAAATTGGGAAGTGTGCTGTTATTTAGCTCTTTAATTTCTCTTAATAGGATTTGATAGTTCCAGTGTACAGATCTTGTGAATTCATAAAGACTTGGGATCATTTTGTTGACTCTGAAACATTATCCTAAAACATAGTTAGGATAGAATCTGAGAAGGTGAAGGCCAAGGACTCCTTTTTCTCCCAAAAAACTTTGAGTGACAATGAAACAGTGTAGTTACCAATGTTCTCCTTTGCCTGTGCAGGTGGTTTTCCATTCATTTAGCAGCTTTGTGCATTTACCCAGGGCTTTTTAGCTGAATGCATGTGACTCTTTCATTGCTTTGGAATGAAATTCTAATCTGGTGGTGGTAATTTTACCAATAAAGTCATCAGAATATGTTTGCCTATTTCCCATAGTTCTCCTAGGAAGAACTGTGGTTGTTGTGGTATTTTTAAACGGAGAGTTAGAATTAACAAAATCAAGTTGCATTTCAGCAAGACATCTTCATGATTGTCCCTCATCCCATTAAGTCATTATTTTAAAAATTCACAACAACGTAAAGTTGACTAATGAGATTAGGTTCACCAGTTTATTCAAAATAATAACCTGTATCTGTCAAGCATTTATAAAAGATGATTATCTCTTTATAAACTTTGATATTAGATTTGCTTTGATATAAATATTGTTATTAAGTTTCGTTGCCTAGAGAATAAAATCTCTTCATGATTTGTTCAAATCTCAGCCTGCAGTTTTGCAAAAATTACTGTAAGGATAATATATATATTTACATATAAATATGATGAACTTAGAACCTTCTTGCTTTAACAGTGGGGAAATTATATTTATATATCCTGCAACATCATGCAATGTAGTGATGCCCTTTAAATTAAAATTTCTCTTCTTGTATTCGGCAGGCTTTTCTAAACCAAAATTTCTATTAATTTCAAATGACTTTTATCTCAGTAGCTGATGTACAAGTAGACTGAAAAAGCAAACAGTAGAAAAGCCTCAACTCTTTTTCTCAAGAACTTCCTTCCACTGCATGCATTACTCTTGTCCAGTTTTGGATCGTGAGTGTGAACTGCTTTCATGGTTCTTGGTCAGAGCCATGATAACCTGAGCTTGCTTTCCATCCCTAATAATAATTATGTCCCATATTTTATTATATGGCATTATTATTATTATTATTATCCTCTGTTTTCGGAAGGAAAGTACCTGGGCCAACCCCCAAAGGATTAGTTTTTCTTTCTCTGATTCACGTTTTCTCCCGTTGCAGATTGGATTTGAGGCCCCTCCCCTCCAGAGCCAGGCTGCAGCTCCAGGGAGCACGAGTGGAGCTGCTTCAGAGCCAGCTCGCCATGTCTTCTCCTTTTCATGGCTGAACTCCCTGAATGAATGATGTTCATTCCAACTGCTGCCCCTCCGTCTGCCTGGCTGAGACACACATAGGCAGCAGGTGACTTAGATGAAATTAACGTGATGCAGACGATGAATGGGACCTGTAAATGGGATTTCTGCAAAGAAAACAAGCAAAAACTGTTATCCCAGATGACTTACCTAACACATTGAGGGAAAAGAACACTGAGAAAATAGCTGCAGTAAACACTGGAGAAAAGAAACTTGATCTTCTGCAAATCTTTTACTGTGTGGGAAACATTATGAAGGGTGTGTAGGTGTGGTACCTGTGTTTGTGTCAGTAACAAGTGGCAAATGTTGAAAAAAGTAGGCACTACACTCTCATCTCTATTAGGCACTAGCTGTTTGGTATTCTATCATAGTAGTTCTTATTTCTTCTTTTCCTCAACAATACAGTGAAATTCAATGCCAATTCAGTAGTGACTGATTTATCAATATATGGGTAAAAGGTAAATCATTGACCAAAGCTATGAAATATTTCGCAAAGTTGTCTTCATTTACATAGTAGACATCACTGAGCATATATCCAGAAATGTCCTTTAAATCTGGGGGTGCTTCAGAAGGCTGAAGCCTTGTGACATTTTTCTAATCTTATTTGTAGATCGCCATTTATCTCTATTCACATATCATGCAGATACATGAAAAGAACTTCTAGCGGGAGCTCTCTACTTTCTCATATATCCACTGTGACACCAATCTGGTAAACTATAGAACAACTGCATGTATTTAAACATATAGGCACATGAAACACAATTAAATATATATGTAATTTATATTTAAATCATGCTTTATTTGTTGCACCGTAATGCCTCCTTCAGTATACAAATGTGATGACTCTGTACGAACTCTTAAATAAATGCTGTTCTTAAAAATTTAGTCATACTGATTCACGCAGTGTTGCCTATTGTCACATTAGTCTATTAGTCAAGTGTACTTCAAAGGCCTCAGGGGAAGAAGTGTATTCATACTACAAGTTAATTTTGAAGTATTAGACATTCTGTTGCATTTTTTAAGTTAAAACTAAACTACCAAGGCCAAATGCATTGTCAAACTAATTAGGTGTGCTGTTTAGAAGTCAGTAAAGACAAGCCATATTCCTAAGAATCAAAGCAATTAGGGTTGGCATAGATATAAACGTGCAAATTAATTCCTGCAGTTGTTAAAATCACAAAATTGTTAATAATAAAAATTTTCCTGAGTGTCATTTTATAGCCACTAAATTTAGTTGTTTTAATGGAGATGCTAACAAGTTTCTCTTATTAAAAGCAGTCACTGGAAAACATCTTTGGTTTTATGGTACCAAAGTCCTAGCATGATAAAGTGATCCATCTCATAGTAAAATAAATAAATAAACAAATGTTATTGTTAACAAAGATTTATTTTATTTATTTAAAAATAATTTTTTAAAAAAGCAGTATTTTGCCTGTCAAGTTTGGAGGAATGCCTGCCTCAACCAGCCTTTCTCTTTTTCTCTCATCTGTCCCCACTCTCCACAGCTATTTCACATCTTATAATTAATCAGAGTTAACTATTATTTCCATCACGATTGATCTTCCATTTATGGAATTACCAAGTTTCAGAGCTAAAGCAACTTTTCCAGTTGTTGACGTCAACTTCAGAGGAGTCATCTCAGGAGTAGAGATGAGCCCAAGCAATTGCAGGTCTGTGTGAGCTTCTGACATAAATTTGTTTATGTTTTTAGAGGGAAATAAAATGCAGGAAGTTTGGACTTTTTTTTTGTTGTGCTGAAGAAAAACTGGAGGAAACTAGGAGCTGAGGGCATTTCCGTGTGTGAGCATTGAAGAGGAAAAATAAAGTCACAGCAACCTTTGCAGCTTTTATTAAAAATATAAATATTCCACATTCTCTTACACAACCAAGTGACCAAGGATTGGAAAGACGTTTTATTACTGAAACGTTTACAAGAGAAAGTCGACTCAAAGAGCTTACAGGCTTCGTCTTACCCACCCACTCAGGAGCTGGCTTTCTGCTTGACTCCAACCACAAAAAGAACAATTGGGTGATTTCTATCTATCTGCTGCTTGGAAACCTTTCTTCCCTCTCGGGTCTGCATTCTCTTTAAAACACCACTACAAAGACAGCTGGAAATGGAAACCAGAAGGAATCAGTACAAATAAACATTGTGTTTGTAACTGCACGTGAATAAATTTTGTGCATGCTAATTAAGGGGTATAGACTCTCTCCCTGTACATCTTCTATGTTTCAAGCTATATAAAAATAAACAAATGATATCAGAGCAGCGCTATGGTACAGAATACTTTTTTAAATTATTTTGTGTGCTAAATGCAGAGACTCTTTTTGGCCAAACGCGCCGTTTCATTTCCCAATAATCTCCATCAGTTTCCTGTTGCTGTGGGCTTGCTGCGCTAACTGCTCGGCCCTGGCCATTTCCAGGACTTCCCGCAGAAGGTGGAAGGTGAGATCCAGGGAGATGGGGGGCTCCTCGGACCGCCTCTCCCTCTCCGGTGCCTCCTGGTGGCCACCGAGGGCGCTCTCGGCGCCGCGCTCCGAGGGGCCAGCGCGGCTGTCGAGCGAGCGCCCGGACAGCGGCAGCTGCTGCAGCAACACGCGGAAAAAGTTGGCGGCTGCCTGGTCTGGCAAGGGGCGGCCGCCGCTGCCCGCGCCGGCGAGGGGCGAGGAAGCGGGCGAGAGTGCGGCCACCGGGCTCCTGCCGAGGTTCCCCAGGCGGAGGAAGTATTCCTCTCCCATGCGGAGCAGGATGGGCCGAGGCTGCGGCTGCTGGGGCTGCGAGGGCGGCGGCTGCGGCTGGAAGAAATCCAAGGGCTGGGGGGCCTGCGGGACGCCAGGAACCGGCCCCCGGCGGAGGAGGGCCCTGCAGGGCGGGCAGGGCAGGAGGGCCACCAGCAGGACGCCCGCCGATACGAGCAGCGGCAGCCGCATGTTAGGAGCGCTCGCTGCAGCAGAGGCGGGCGGAGGGCGCAGAAGAGCAGGGAAGAGGAAAAGAAAGAGTTGGTCAGAGTTTAGCTCTGCTGGGAGATGCCCTCGCCTGTTTTCCCGCGGGACACCCACGCACGTGCCAGGCCCCGGCCTCAGGGACTGGGCGGGCGCTGTCCACGGTGCTGAAGCTGCCCTTCGAGGACCTCAGGGGTTGGAGTAATGGAAAGGGGGACTCCCCTGGGGGCTCGCCCCAGAGCCCATCCCTCGCCAGGCAGCGAGCCTTAACATTTGAGATTGCAAAGAGACGGTGGTGCCTGAGTTCTCTTCCCAACGACCCCCGTGCCCCCCGCCCCAGCCTAGGACAGGGCAGCACATTGAAGACCTCACCCGCTCTGACCCCCCCCCCCAAGGTATTTCATCATTTTCCTCCGAATTTCCTCCCCTCCTCCTCCTCTTTCTGCTCTACCTCCTCCTTCTCCTCCTCTTCCTCTTCCTCTTCCTCTTCCTCCCCTATCCATCCCAGTCCTTGATTCCTTCTCTCGGGGGTCGGGATTGATGGCAGGGACGGGGGCGGGGGGAGCTCTTTTTTACAGCAAGGGAAGAGTAACTGGCAATTCTGGTAACGGTGAGCAGCCGTCTAAGTTTGCTTTACCACTTCTCAGCCGCTATGGGAATCTGAAGGTGCAGTCAGCGCACACAAGCACACATACTCGCACAGCACACGCGCGCACACACACACGCGCCAGCCCGCCAGCCCGCCCGCCGATACAGGGCAGCCAGCCCCGAGGCTTGCACCGCGGCGGCTCCGGCAGCGCAAAGTTGGCGGCGCGCTCCGTCCAGGCGCTCCCTACCTTCCCCGGCGCTGCGCAGGTGAGAGGGACGCTGCCGCCTCTCTGCAGAGGGACGTCGCTGGGGTTGGTTCTGGAGGTTTTCTTCCCTTCTCTTTTCTGTCGCCTCTCTGTTTTTCTTTTCTCCTCTTTCTCTTCCGTCTCTCAGTGGACTTGGGTTCTGGGTTTCTCCACAGCAGAGGCTGGAGTGGGGTTTTATAGCATCGACCCTCTTCAGAAAGCACGCAGCATTTGCCTAATAAGCTGACGCTCTCTTGACAGCTCGATTGCGTGCTGCCTCTGCTCCTGCATAAATCATAGGGCCCTGCCAAGGAGCGAGGGACAGAGTTTTTGCTATTTCAACACTGAATCTCACATCCAATTATATCAACAGATATTTATCGCCTCCTTGGTGACGTCAACGAGCCCTAAAATGGAAGGGTTTCTTGTGACTTGTCCATTGATAAAAATTCTTGAATGAAATTTCCCAAGTGTGAAAACGTACTGACCTCTTACTATGGAAGGCCAAACTGAGGGGTCAGGAAATAGACAGCAAACGGGAAGGGAGACTGGAAGGGAAAGAGGGAAGGAAGGGAGGTCTACCGAGGTGGTTTTGCCTGGAAAGCAACACCCAGCTAGAGAGAGTGGGTGTGGATCCCCTGGCCCTCTCCCTTCTAACCCTGACTAGTTGTCCCAGACAACACCTCAGTATCTGAAAATACCTCTTCACTGGAGACAGAGCCCCACCATCTTTCTGCCTGGAGGAGAATGAGGAACCAGGAAATATGGGGGACATCCAGTTTCTAAGCTTCTATCTGCTTTCTTCTCCTAAGAGCAGACAATAGAATTAAAAATCCACAGAGGCAAGACCCATCAGGCTATTGAGAGGCAGCTCAGGGTTTCAAAAATGATGACAAGAGCTAATCTCAGAATAAAAGGACACATACCTGCATTAGTTAGAGGTGCAGTAACACATTTGCATTCTCACATTGTCACTGATCCCCTTTGTTTTTCCTCTCCGAAACTAAAATTAATTGTGAGAGATGCCTGGGTTAAACAATTTTTATTTGCCTTTCTCAATGCAAACTCAATGAGAGAGGCACCCATTTTACCATCCTATTCTGTTGGAAAAGACTTAAACTGCATGATAGCAAGCCTGCATTCATCAGTTTTGCTTTTCCATTAATGAATATTGAGTCTGTGAGAAGATAATCTCATTTATGTTACTTCCAACTACCATCAGCATCCTTGATAGATTTCCCATCAGGAGCATCCATGTTGTTATTTTTTTGTCCTTGATTTTTCCAAATTCAAATGTGCTTCACATAAGTCTGATGACTTAATGCTCTTTGGCACCACTACAGAATGGAATGCTAGGCCTATAAAAACCACGCCCAAAAATACTATCGTATAGGTGGGAGGCAGGTGCCTCTAATTCTGTATTTCAAAGCATAATTCCAAACCCATATGCCTGTGATTCAATTCAGTTTCCACATAACCACCAGAGCTGTTTACTGGAAATGTCCTGTTTCTCATTTCTGTTGCCTCTCCTGCTTCCTTTGTAGTGAATGTGACACAGAGGCAATGAGTATTTCAACTCCTACTTTGGACAACAGCTCTTAGAAACAAAAAGAATGTAGGGAGAAAAATGCTGTTTCCAGAGAAGTCAGTCCATAGGTGGATCACTGCACAATGGAATGTACTGTTGACATAGAACAGAGAAGGAAATGTGTCAAAAGTTGTGAGTTGTTGCTAAAAGGGCATGATTATGGAGAATGAGCCTCCGGAGGAAAGCTTTGTTTTGTACTGGTAAGGAGGTGCACAGGACCTTGCTGTCTGTTACTGAGGACTTCTCTTAAAAAGCTGAAATGAATCTCAACATTTTTCCTGGCTTTCCTTTATGGCCCCTTCTCTGTCTTCATTGGTAGATTTCAGTTTGGATGTCAACCTGGGGGTGGAAATTTGGCTTGGAAAGGGAAGTTGCAGGCAAATGGACTCAGAAGAGGAACTAGGAAAGGAATGGACTGTGAGCTTTGCTGGTGAGGCCTGGGAGTTGTCTGCAGAGAATCACAACAAGTTTTAGGCTCTGACCATTCCAATGTTCCTTCAGCTCTCTCTCCCACTGGGCCATCTGGGGAGTGTTGTTTTAGTCTCGCTCCCTCATCACCACTGAGTTCTTTTTGTGAAGTTTTCCTGGAGAATAAATAGTACAGCACTATAATTTACCCCAAGTTAGATTTTATTAAATCATCAAGCATTCACGTTACTAACATCTTAAAGAGACCACTTGGTTTAACTAAGAACTGGAAAGGTTTAGTGACTTATCTAAAAATCACTCAGTTAGTGATAAAGTCAGAATTAGAACTCAGTTCATATTATTTATATAATAAATATATATAATTCATTTTCCAGCAGAAGGACATGAACAATTTGAAGTGAGAAGGTGAATTTAGATAAAGCAATGTATTCATATCTCCTTATTTTGGTAAAACTCCCAAGGCATGATAACAGAGATTCTCTCTGCATTCTGACACTCCTGGATTCTGATATTAAATCTCTGTGTGCATGTACTGTAATTTACCTTTCAGCCAAATTGGGTAATTATGACATGATGTTTTTCACATGCATTGCCAATTTAAAATGCATTCATTTGATTTCCCTCCTTATGTGACCAGTGGAATAAAGTGATCTTTGATAAAGTATAGAAGGTGAGAGTTCTCAATCATGACACAGGTGTGTGACTAGTGAAATGACATAATGAAGAAAACATATATGTACAGTAAATTAAACATCTGAGTCCATAAAAATCACCATGAACACATCTAATATTTTTTTTAATTTTTATTTATCTACTTGAAAGGCAGATTTTAGAGAGGCAGAGGCAGAGAGAGAGAGAGGAGAGAGAGAGAGAGGTCTTCTGTCTGCTGGTTCACTCCTCAAATGGTCACAATGACCAGAGCTGGGCTGATCTGAAGCCAGAAGCCTGGAGCTTTTCTCGGGTCTCCCACATGGGAACAGGGGCCCAAGCACTTGGGTCATCTTCTACTGCTTCCCCAGACCCTAGCAGGGAGCTGGATCAGAAGTGGAACAGCCAGGACTTGAACTGGTGCCCATATGGGATGCCAGCACAACAGGTGGTGGCTTTACCCACCACGCCACAATACCGGCCCCAGTACATCTGATCTTATATGAAGGAATAAATTCTTGAAAGGAGTTGCTGAAAACCAATTTAGGGATCAGTTTTGTGGCATGGTGGGTTAAGCTGTTGTCTGCAATGCCAGCACTCTATATGGGCACTGCTTTGAGTCCTGGTTTCTCCATTTCTGATCCAGCTCCTTGTTAATGTGCCCGAGAAAGTAGCAGAAGATGGTCCGAGTACTTGGGCCTTTGTACACACATAGGAGACCTGGAAGAAGTTCCAGACTTCAGCCTGGCTCAGCCTTGGCTATTGTGGCCATTTGGGGAGTGAGTTTGTGGATGGAAGATCTCTCTCTGTCTCTGCTCCTCTCTGTCTTTGTAACTCTGCCTTCAAAATAAATAAAATCCTCTCTTTTAATTTTCTAAAAAATCTTTAAAAAGATTTTTAAAAATATTTTGTTTATTTATTTGAGAGACAGAAAGATCTTCTCTCTGCTGGTTCACTCCCTAAATGGCTGCAATGGCCAGAGCTGAGCCGATCCTAAGCCAGGAGCCTGTAGCTTCTTCCAAATCTCCATGAGGATTCAGGGGCCCAAGCACTTGGGCCATCTTCCACTGCTTTTCCAGGCCATAAGCAGAAAGCTGGATTAGAAGAGGCTCAACTGGGACATGAGTAAGTGCCCATATAGGATGCTGATACCATAGGTGGAGGCTCAGCCTATTATACCACAGTGCTGGCCCCAATAAATAAAATCTTTTAAAAAATTAATTTAAATGCTTTAGAATCTAGAACACGATCAAAATACAAGGACACAAAAACCAGGAATTACTTCATGCTTTAAATCATACTTTCCAGTAGCACAAAATAAGACAAAAAAAAAAAAATAAGGTTGGGGCCGGCGCTGTGGCATAGTGGGTAAAACCCCCGCCTGCTGGGTTGGCATCCCATATGGGTGCCAGTTTGAGTCCTGGCTGTTCCTTTTCCAATCCTGCTCTCTGCTATGGCCTGGGAAAACAGTAGAAGATGGCCCAAGTCCTTGGGCCGCTACGTCCACGTGGGAGACCCGGAAGATGCTCCTGGCTCCTGGCTTCGGATTGGCTCAGCTCCAGCCATTGTGGCCAACTGGGGAGTGAACCAGCAGATGGAAGACCTCTCTCTCTGCCTCTCCTTCTCTCTCTGTGTAACTCTGACTTTCAAATAAATAAATAAATCTTTTTTAAAAAAATAAGGTATAGTTAAGTTAGAATAGACATGACACAACAGTCTAACTTACAAAAAATATCAGAAATAATAGGAGGTGCTTGCTACATTTCTGCTACTTGAATCTTTTTGTGCAGGTGAAATGCTTCTATTTAGCAAAGCTCATAGCAAACAAGTGCTCCAATTTTATTAACTGAAAAAATTGTTGAAATGAATCTACCGTCTCCAATAGCAGCCTTCGAAACTGCCCAGATGGACAAGTGCATTGGTAGTTGCTGGTGACTGTGCTGTATACACATGAGTTAGTAACTACCTCTGCTTTCAGAGAAGGGCTGGGGAAAGGCTCTCAAGCCACACATTCGTCTAACTGCTTCCCCAGGAACAATAACTTTCATTAGTCTCCTCTGAATATCAAAACTCTACTCCCCCCACCAATAGAAAACTTGGAAAAACCAAACAAGTATAAGGAAGTATATAATTCCTCAGAATATGAAAATCTAGAGACAATCACATTGTATGCTTTGTTGTTCCTCTTAATTTTCCTGAGCTCATCTATTTTTACATAACTGAGTTAACACTGTGCTCTTAATTGTGAAATTCTGTCTTTAAAAAAAGTCCTCTTATTTTAAAACTTAAAAACAATTGACCTCTCCTAGGTCCTGTAGGTATGCTCCTTCCTCACTGCCTGCATCTTCCGTCATCAGCCTTTTCATCCCTCCCTGGCAGCTTACTGTTCTCCCTCCTCCTGCCCTCCTCCTGCTGCCTGCCTCGCTATGGACCATTTCCTGCTGCTTCCACATCTTGCATCCTCAGACACCATTTCATTTTGTCTGCTCTCCTTGTTTCAGAAGTTTGTTCAACTCTCTCACCTACTCGTGCTCCTTATCCTGTTCTCGTCATCATTTGGGATTTATACGTGGGAATTTCAAACAATTCATGGGGAAACTTAAAATCCTAGAGGTGGGGATTTGGTGCAACAGTTAAGATCCATATTCCATATCCATATTCCATGTCGGAGTGCCTAGGTTCAAGTCCAAGCTCCTCCCTCAATTACAGCTTTCTACTAATGTTTTCCTGGAAAGAAGCAGATAATGGCTCAAGTTCTTGGATCCTTGCCACCCATATGGGAGACCCAGACAATTCCAGGATACTAGCTTAAACTTGACCCATTCCCAGCTGATGGGCATTTAGGAAGTGAGCCAGCCAAGTGAAGAACTTTGTCTCTATCTCTCTGCCTTTCAAGTAAAATAAAAATAAACAAACTTTTAAAAAAAAGCTTGAAACTAACACGTAGTTATTTTACAATGTTTTTCATGAACTTTTTGAAGACCCCTCAAATGTATTTTGGGAAGATTCCTCTAAACTCGGTGTGGACAGCAGATAGGAGGAGCAAGGAGGTGGAAAAATGAGTATGGTCTTTGGGCTATTAGTGCTGGCCCCTGGTAGAGTGAGCGTCATATGCCCATGAATGACAGGAATGATGGAAGGTAATGACAGCGTCTAAGCACTCACAGTTCTACCTGGGGGCAGCCACACCACTGTCCAGGTTTGGGTGGGGAGAGGGCATCTGTTCAGTCCCCACCAGGCAGCAATCCTCTCAGCACCCGGAAGTTGTCACTCGGTGCTCTATCGCCTTTCTTCAGAAAACGGTAAGAACTTGGTTCCCTGCCCCTCTATTTTTTGCAGAAGTTAAGAAGTAACCAAGCCTGGGGAAATGACTCAGAGCATGGGGAGAGGGACAATGTTTCTGTTTCTCTAACAAGCCTTGGTCTTGACAGACATGACTGACCTTTCTATTTACATCACAATACATCGAATTTTCTGTTTTAGGCTCCAGATAATGGATGGAGAGCAGTGAGAGGATCTCTGTGAACTTTCTGTCATGAAGCGCAATTTGCAGGAACTAATGATCGTACAATGGTTGGTCTGAAGAAAGAAATCCATCAACCAAGCATCCCGAGTAGATATTTATATTCATGACCGTCGCTCAGCTCTGGAGAAGAGCTCTCCAAGAAGGCTGCTAGGCATGCGGCTGGCGTTACAAAGAGGGAAAAGAGGAGAGGGCAAGAAGAGTTAAACACGGATTTTAACTACAGAAGTGTTTTAAATTTTTTATTCTGTAGTGTAGATCCCCAAGGCTTCAGCATTTCTCAGATTTCTTTGACCACAGAACAAACCCAGGGACTAGTTGGGATATATAATCAGCCTGGAGGCATCTCCTGAGGAGTCCAGCAAGACTTTCTCTGCAATCCAGTATTTAAGTCCATGACTGCAGATGCTTGCAATTTTCTACCACTCCTAGGAGAAATTTTAAAAATAACACTCTTGGCCGGCGCCACGGCTCACTAGGCTAATCCTCCACCTTGTGGCACCAGCACACCGGGTTCTAGTCCCGGTCGGGGCGCTGGATTCTGTCCCGGTTGCCCCTCTTCCAGGCCAGCTCTCTGCTGTGGCCAGGGAGTGCAGTGGAGGATGGCCCAAGTCCTTGGGCCCTGCACCCCATGGGAGACCAGGAGAAGTACCTGGCTCCTGCCATCGGATCAGCGTGGTGCGCCGGACATGGCGGCCATTGGAGGGTGAACCAATGGAAAAGGAAGACCTTTCTCTCTGTCTCTCTCTCTCACTGTCCACTCTGCCTGTCAAAAAAATAATAATAATAACACTTTTTTTTGTCTTTAAAGAGAGGGTCTCCAGATATGGAGATCTATCTATTTTAAGCCCTTGGAGGATTACCTGCCCTAGATAGTGTCACTTTACAGCAAGCAGCTGCTGAGCCCTGGATCATCACCCATAGCATGATCAAGTTTGTTTGCACACTTCTAAGTCTGGGCAAGGAGTTGGTCTCCATAGTCTTTTACTGCAGTGGAACTATTTGGGCCTACTTAGCAGAGAAGGACCCTCTTCAAGTACGAAAGTCAGAAGCATCCTAGACAAGAGATTTGCAATGGCCAAATTTGAGCTTTTCGTAGAGGAAATTTGATTATTCAAGAGGCAGTCAGCATAGAGGGCTGCAGGGCAGACAGAGGCTATGGAAGATAATTTTCAGGAGCTGTAGGGTTCCTGGTTATGTATTCAGACCTTTTGTGCAGCCTAGAGCAAGATCTTTTCATCTCTGAGGCTTCTGTCATTCACCTGTGGGAAATGCGATGTTGGCTTCCATCACAGGAGCTGCTGTTACATCTCCCCCCGCCGTGTGTTTGCCTGTCACCCAGCTTGATTGTGAGCTTACCCCCTGGTTCCTTGTGGTCTGTGACTCCTAATAAATAGATCACACATGGTAAGCATAGGTTGTTGGAGAATACCTAAGTGTGATGTGTCCCACTTGGGAAATAGGCTACTTGATTTTGAGGTGGTCTCATAACTGTGAAAGCCAATGACTCCTCGAAGGGTGGCATTGGAAAACTTACATCTGGGAAAGAAAGGATCTATCTGATTTGGAAAATTGACTCTTCTTTTTTGCATAAATTTTAGGAGTGATCTGAGCAACAACGTTCCCAGGATAATAGAAGACTTAATGGCCTCAAGTAGCAGTTAAGTTTAATGTTCCTATTCATAAAGTTAAATATAGATATATATTTTTGAACTTCATTTCATTTTCCAACCTGTTTTCTTTGTGCTTTAATTCTTAGTAGCTGTAAAAATTCTGTCATGTGCTAATGTATTTCTATCTTACCAGAATCAACAACAGTTGCAACAATGGGATTTTAGTTGAATGGGTAATTACAATTATATAACCTGAGAAATTTTTTCTATAAAAAGTGTTTTTTAACTTTTTTGAATAGAACAGTGCTATGGACTGAATGTTGCACCCCCCTAAAATTCCTATGTTGAAGCTGAATTCTCAATCTGATAAGATTTGGAGGTGGGGGGCCTTTGGAAGGTAATTAGATCATTGGAGTGGTGATTCCATGAATGGAATTGGTGCCCTTTCTGTATGAGACAAGAGAGGAGCTTAATCGCTCTTTCATCCCTCTTCCCTCCCACTCCTTGCCATGCGAGGATGCAGTGTGAAGACACCCGTCTTCAAACCAGAAAGAGAATCCTCAGCAGACACTGGATCCACTGGTGCTTTGCTCTTGGAGCTCCAGTCTCCAGAACGGTGAGCAATAAATGTTTGTTGTTTAAGACATCCAGTCTGTGATGTTATAGCTGCCCAAACTGACTAAGATAAACGGCATTTCTGATTTTTCTTGGTTATTGTGACTTGTTCTAATACCTTTACTTGAGGATTTCACTAAGAACAAAACTTCAGAGCAGTTGTGCACACTTTTGGAGGGCACACACTAGACTTCTAAGTATGGCTGTTATTAGACTACTGCAACAGATTTCTGATTCTATGACTTCCTAGCTGGGTGACTTTGGACTAGTTAAATTTTCTACACTTATTTACTTATTTGTCAAACCAACATAAAATGTTTATATTCCTTTTGGGATTATGAGATTAAATGATATAGGGCATTCAGTGCCTAGGATACAATAAGCCTTCAATAAGCATTATTCATTGTTGCTGGGGTAATGATACAGTTGCTTCTAATTGTTCACCATAGCAGTTCTCTCTAATCCCAGGTACTCAAAGGCTGGCAGCCTACGCATGGTAGTTACTTGCCTTAATAAATGTTTATTAGTAAAATAGAAGAATAAAATAAAAGCGATTGATAAGTTTTTTCTCCTAATTCCCAGTCTTTGCAGTCACCCAGTTGATTTTATAAAAAATGTTTTTTAGTGAACAGACTCTACTTGCCAAGAGTAGTTGTAGGGCTGGTGCTGTGGCGTAGCAGGTAAAGCCACTGCAAGCCACCACCTGCAGTGCTGGCTTCCCGTATGGGTGCCAGTTGAGTTCTAGCTGCTCCACTTCTGATCCATTCTCTGCTATGGCCTGGGAAAGCAGTAGAAGATGGCCCAAATACTTGGGCCCCTGCACCTGTGTGTGAAACCCAGAAGAAGCTCCTGGCTCCTGGCTTCGGATCAGCTCAGTTCTGACCATTGCAGCCATCTGGGGAGTGAACAAGTAGACCTTTCTCTCTCTCTCTCTGGATCTACATCTCTCTGTGACTGTCTTTCAAATAAATAAAATAATTCTTAAAAAAAAAAAAAAAGAGTAGTTGTAGGTTAGAGAAATTGAGCAGGAGGCACAGAGCTCCCACACCATCTTTTTTGTCCACTCCACCACCTTGCTCCCCTGAGTTTTCCCCTATGCTTAACATCTCACATTGATGTGATACATGTGTCGTAATTGGTGAACCAATATTGATGTATTATTATTAATTACAATCCATAGTTTACATTAGAGTTCACTCATGGTGTTGTGTATTCTGAGTTTTGACACAAACACAATGAAATATATCCATCATTACACTGTCATATAGAATAGTTTTACTGCCCTAAAAATTCCCTGTACTCCACCTATCTAACCTTCCCCCAATCCCCAGCAACCACTAAACCTTTCACCATCTCTATAGTTTCACCTTTTCCCAGGATGACACATAGTCGGAATCATAGAGTGTGTAGCCTTTTCTCTTTGGCTTCTCTCACTTGCACAATATCCATTTCAGGTTCCTTCATGTCCATTCAAACAAAAATTCAGTTTTACTGAGGAATACCTGATATTTTGTCTTGGGAATCGTTCATTTGGCTATGGTATCTCCGCTTGGTAAATATCTGCTCACTTAAGAATTGTTTTTTTTTTCATGTTGAAACTTCTATCCTTAGGCCAGTTGTTTAATTGTTTAACTGAAAGGAGGTACTTTCAAAGGAGAATTTTCCATTGTAAGGAGGAGTTAAAAACAACACTGAAAAATGCTTGGTAGGAGCAGGCAGGTTGCTTAGTGGAGAAGATATCCACTCGTTCCACAATGGAGTGCCAGGGTTCAATTCTCAGCTCTGGCTCCTGATTCCAACTTCTTGCTAATGCACACCCTGGGAGTCAGTGATGATGACTCAAGTGATTGGGTTCCTATGTCCCACATGGGAGACCTGGATTGCATTCCCAGCCCTGGCCCACTTCCAGCCCAGTCTTGGGCATTAAAAGCATTTGGGGAGTTAATCAAGCAGATGGGAGCTCTGTCAGCTGTCTGAACCACCCTCCCCCTCTCTTCATTTCTGTCTCTCTCAAGTAAATAATTTAAAGGTGTTTTGATGCTTGGTAATTAAGTGCTAATTGGTAATGCATTGCTAATTAAAGATAAAAGAAATACACATACCTTTTCCATGCCAAGATTGAGAAGTCCATCACTTCCTGGTGGGAGCCTCCATTGTCCCCACAGCAGCAAGGGATGAGCCATTCTCCAAACTTGATAGAGATGACCACTCATGCCAAGCTGCCTGGCAATTCTGTTTCTTCATGGACAGCTTCATTGCTGCTGGACAACCTCACTATCATTCTATTCCCAGTCTTTGCTCTAAGACCAAAGTAATAGAAAATAAGCACTCTTCATAAATTTTAAAATTCCCCTTTTACTCATCAAATCTGTCTCCTTGCATCATTCCCCTGGAGAATCTGTTCTGTCTCCAGCCGGAGGCAGGAGGTGGAGATGGAACAGGTACAGCTGCCTTCGTGCCTTCCCAGGAGGCCAGCCCCAGACTCTCAGCTCTCCCAGACTTAATTTCCTTGATAATTTCATGTTCATCCTGTTCCACCAGACACTCTTCTGCAACCTTCAGCCTCCCCTCTACTTCTTAAGCTTTATACCTTTCAAGCATTTATGAATGGTATGTTACTTAACTGGTCTTAACTTAGAAAATGCACAAATATGTTTATTTGGTTTTCAATGCTATCTTAAAAGTCATCTTCCTGGGCCCTTGAACTTTTCATAGGCTTTTCTGTAGCAAGGAGGATGTAAAAGAAGGCTCTTGATCAAACCACCCAATGCCAAGTGACATGGATTTTTCTGAAAGAGCTGTCATCTCCTTCCTGCTCTCATTTCTGGGTCTAATCCTGGGGCAGCTCTTGATCATGGAACATCCATTCCCCCACACAGAGCTTAACTCCTGGTGCAGAGCAAAAGTGATAAGATTGATTGGAATGGAATTGGGAGTACCATGAAGGGCACGGCTCAAATCATCTACCCAAGCCTCACTGACGCCCCTGTGCTGTATCAGAGTTCCTGAAACCATATCAACAGTGAATAACTTCTTTGGGCAAGTACTAAGCTAAAAACCAAGAGTAAAATTAAGAAAAAAACAGAAATGGGCTGAAAATAGGTGTTTTGATGAAATACAAAAATGCCAACTATATTTGTATCTGCTGGGGCTGAATCAGAATGTTCTGGGGGATCTAAACGGGCTGAACAAGTGCTCAGTGCTCCAGAGCTAGCCACTGAGACTTTTCTTCTGTGAAATGTGGGACACTGCGGCTCCCTCCCTTTTGGTCAGAAACAGTACACTGCTGGCCTCCCTTGTTTACGCTCTCCCGGATGCGTATTTTCCTTGTCTCTAATCCTCTACCCTGGAGCCCTGCTAGAAGTAGCCCCATTCCATAGATGAGGAAGTGGAAGCTCAGAATGCATGAGTGACTTGACTAATGTCTCCCAGCTGGTGTGTGGATGGGTGTTAGGATTCCTAATGAGAATCTTCCCTCCCCATCTACTTTTCATTCAGGTCTCCAGGGAGTTCCAGGGAGGGGTGAGGCAGCCTCCCCTGGTTTAGGAGGAACAGGCCCCCTGTGTATGCCAGGTTTCCAGGTTATCTCTTTCCTCAGCACTAACCACCAGGTGCGATGATGAGGCATACCACCCTGTTTAAGTTCATGTTGTTCTAGAGAGAACTCAAATTCCTGGGCTCTATGAGAGCATCTCTGGAAACATATCCAAGCACCAGCCCTAGTCCTTCCACTCTTCACTATTGGCTTCCCCTCTTTATTTTCAAATCATTAATTAATTAATTATTTTTATTTATTTGAAAGGCAGAGGGGCAGAGAAGAAAGACAGAGGACCATCAATGGTTCACTCTCAAATTGCCTGCAACAGCCAGAACTGGGCCAGGCCAAAAGTGGGATGCCCAAGTGCAATCCAGGTCTTCCACATGGGTAGCAAAGACCCAAGTACTCGAGTCATCATCTGCTGCCTCCCAGCGTGTGCATTAACAGGAAGCTGGGTCAGAAGCAGAGTTGGAACTCAAACCCAGGGGACTCCTATAAGGGGTATGGGTGTACCAAGAGGTTTCATATCCACTGTGTCAAATGCCCATCCCTGCCCCTGTCCCTGTAATTTTAATTCTCACACCTCTTCATCTAAACCACACTGAACAATCCATTGCATTAATCCTTAGCAGCCATTCCCAATTGTTACTACCCACTAGCCAGCACGCTCAAGCAAATCCTCAGAATATGTCCCCACCTCCACACATCTCTAAGCCTTGAAAAGATTGGCACAGTTTCTTTTTTTTAAAGATTTATTTATTCGAAAGTCAGAGTTACACAGAGAGAGGAGAGGCAGAGAGAGAGAGAGAGAGGTCTTCCATATGATGGTTCACTCCCCAATTGGCTGCAACTGCCAGAGCTGTGCCGATCCGAAGTCAGGAGCCAGGAGCTTCTTCCAGGTCTCCCACGTGGGTACAGGGGCCCAAGGACTTGGGCCATCTTCCACTGCTTTCCCAGGCCATAGCAGAGAGCTGGATTGGAAGTGGAGCAGCCGGGCTCGAACCGGCGCCCATATGGGATGCCGGCGCTTCAGGCCAGGATGTTAACCCACTGCGCCACAGCGCCGGCCCCTGCACAGTTTCTGTCTATATAATGGATATTGTAAGTTGAGACCTATGCCTCACACCAGTTTGTGAATTAATGTTTGCTGTATGGATGCCAGTTCAAACGCAATGGGAAGAAGGCAGAAAGTAACTTGCAAATTCTGTGTATAATGAAGTGAGGCAAAAGCTCACATAATGAAGACAAATAATTATACAACATTTGCATGATTTTTTTTAACAACACAAGACAAGACACAGGGAGCTGATTAGCATTCTGCCTTTGCTATGAGTCTTTCTTTTTATCTCCACCATTTGGTGGGATAAATCAAAGCCAAGTGCAGGTCATGTTGTTTTGCCAAAGTTGTCTTATATACCTGCATTTCCACCAGGCAGTCAAGATTGCTCTGACAAATTTAACTTGGCACAGGTGACTTCTGTGTCTATGACTTCTCTGGGGGTATGCCTCTCAGCTGACACCCCCGTGCCCAGAGAAAGACCTCAATTCAGGCTTTAACTACCAAACTCCAACCAGTCAGAGAGTACTAAAAACACGTGTTACTCATCCTGAAAATATTCGCTGAGTATTTCCTATGTCTCAATCCTGTGCTAGATGCTAGAGATAACAAGACAAGTAAAATCCCAGGTGCCTTGCAGGAAGGCATGTGGTGGTGAGCACTCCACGTGTGGATCCAGAGAAAGCAGTCTACCTCTGAAAGGGGGAAGGAGCAAGGGTTTGGCTCAAGAAGAACTCCACAGGGGAAGCCATATCTGAGATGAGATTGGAAGGAGTAGGCCAATAAGCATAGGCAGATGGCCATTTCAGACAGGATGGAAAGATGCAAAGTGTGAGGAAGCTCCAGGTGTTCCAGTAGCAGCGTGTGGCTTCCTACAGTGCAGGAAGGTGTGCAGAGAGGATGACGTTCAGAGATAAAGCTAGAGAGGCCAGTGAAGGTGAGCTCCGGAAGGACCCTGAACTTGAAACGTGATTCCAAGAGTCAGTGAGAGTGTTAAGCAGGGGAATGACATCAGAGGATGTACATCTGAGAAGACACAACTCCAGAAGCGGCAGGAGGTGGGGCAGAGGGAGACATCCACAGGAACCTTGCCACTTTGTCTTGGGCAGTGAGGCAGATGGTGGGTGTAGGAGGAGAGCAGTTTGGGATGGGAAGATGATGAGATTTATTTGGGAAATAATGAGACTGAAGAGCCTGGGCGAAGAGGCAGGTAGAAATAGCCAAGCCGCAATTGCACATAGGAATGTGAGCTCTGGAGAGCTGTCCAGGAAGGGTTAGAGAGCTGGAGTTCTCAGCCAGAAATTAAGCCATTGCTCTGAACGACCCAGGACAAGTAAGGGGAGAGCAGAGGAGGACCATGAAGGGAACCTGGGGGAAGGTGGCAGGAGGAAGAAGGGATCAGGGGAAGACTGAGAAGGGGGAGATCAAAAGCAAGAAGGAAAGCCAAGAATGAACAGTATCCCGAGCCAGGGGAGAGTGCTCAGAAAAAGAAAATGCTACATAGAAGCAATGCGATACAAGGGTTGAGAGATGGGATTTATCAAATTTGGCAACATGGAAATTTTGGATAACTGTATCATTCAGGTCCAGTTAGCAAAATAGAAACCACATTAGCTATTTCCACAGAGAAAAAATTAATATTAAAAACTACATAGGGACTGATGCTGTGGCATAGCAGATAAAGCTGCCATCTGCAGTGCTGGTACCCCATACAGGTGCTGGTTCGAGTCCTGACTGCTCCACTGCTGATCTAGCTCTCTGCTATGGCCTGAGAAAGCAATAGAAGATAGTCCAAGTGCTTGGGCCCCTGCACTCACGTGGGAGACCCAGAAGAAACTCCCGGCTACTGGCTTCAGATCGGCTCAGCTGCAGCTGTTGTGGCCATTTGGGAACTGAGCCAGCAGATGGAAGATCCATCTCTCTCTACCTCTACCTCTCTATAACTCTGCCTTTCAAACAAGTAAATAAATCCAAAATAACAACAACAAAAACCCTGTGTAAATGGGAGTTGGAGGACTGAAAAAGCAAACAGGAATATTGAGAAAGCACAGAAATTGTAACCACAAGAAGCAACTAGCAGGGGACAAGGGGAAGAGGTTGGAGTCACTCGAACGGGGTCCCGTGGAGAAGCCGCCCTGGGGCTTAGCTGCAGCCTCTCAGAGAGAGGATGGTGCGTTCAAGGTTCTGCAACCTCTAAGGCTCAGGAAAGAGGCCTCATGGACCTGGGCCTCCGGGGCAAGGATCCTGTGCAGCTGGAGCCTGGTGCCCTGGAAATTGTATGGTTGGCCCAGTGGAGCAGCTGGAATGTTTGAGGATGGGACCATGGCAGTGGTCTTGGAGGTGCTGGAGTATGGCTGGTACTGGGCGGTGAGCACCCCCTTCTCTCCTTCTGCCTCCCATATCCCTGTAGTGTCACGTTCATCAGCAAAACCCAGTGTGGAAACCTGAAGTCAAAGGGGAAATACAGCCTGTAGAGTCCTGGCCCCAGGTTTCCAAAGCAAAGTCTAGAAAGGTGAGCCACTTGGCTTTCTAATCACACAGTGGCCCTCCCAACTGCAGTTTCCTGGCTTGGAGGAAGGCCACCTAGCAATGAGCTAAGAAGCAGGGGTGGGCACAGTAAACAGGAACTACCTTTTTCAAGATAGAGAATAAGGTAATAGGAGAAGGCATTTAATTGTTTTCCTGTTCGTTTGTTGAGAAGGGGGACCCTAAGGCAATAGCGTGTGAAGGAGATGGTGAACCTGGAATCCCACGCACAGGTAAAGAACTGGCTGAGACAGAAGCAAGAACGCGGATTCCTCTGACAGGTAAAGAAAAAAGTTTTGCAAAAACACCCACTTTGGAGGTGGTGATGTGTCGGTGTACCGAGTTGAATACAAAGTGACCCAAATGGAAAATACTTATCCTCTCCAGCCCAGGAAATCTTTCAGGCCTTCACACAAATCTTTACTCTGGCTTTGCTGATCCACCTACCTAAAAATTTCAACCACCTTCTCCCACACTTGAAATCTCTCTCTCTATCTATCCTCCATTTACTTCATTATCTGATTTATTCATCTCTCATCCCAGAATGGAAACCCCTACACAGGCAAGGATTTTTGTCAGTTTTTGCATACTGGTGTAACTCAGAATTAAACAATGCTTGGAGAGGGCTCTATGGTGCAGTGAGTCAAGCCGCCACTTGCCACTCGAGGTGCCTACCTCCCATATCGGAGTGCCGGTTCAAGTCTCAGCACCTCTGCTTCTGACCCGGCTTCCTGTTAATGCATCCTGGGAGCGCAGCATACAATGACTCAAGTGCTAGGACCCCGGCCATCCATGTGGGAGAACCAGATGATAGTCTCTCCTCTTGCCTGCCTTCCAAGTAGCTGAAAGTAAACAAGCAAACAAACAAATAAATAAAGCTTGATCCAGTGTAGGTCCTGAATAAATAATTGTTGAACACATAATGAACAAAGTTCCCATGTAAGTAGTATAGGAACAAAGACTAGGCTACACACATCAGTTGGCTGGCAATCAGAAACTCTGCTGGGTCCCACGAGGAACATCGAAAAGGAAACAGAAAGATCCATCTATCACAAAATCTGTGATAGCTGAAGAAACTAAACGAATTCTCACAGAAGGTGAGAAGAGAATGATGGAACCCCGCCCTCCTTCTCCCCAGACTGTACGCTCTCCTGAATCCCTGGAGACCGCTTCCACAGTACTCTTTCTGCTCCCTAGCCCAGGATTCAGTTCCTTCAACACAGAGTTCTCAGTCCCTTCGGGAAGTGGGATGTGGGAGTCCAGTCCCACCTGTGCAACCCTCACACCAGTCTGACACGCAGGGGTGTGTCCAAAGCCCCCTCAGAGCTGCCTTTGATGGGCAGCAGGCCCCTGCCCCAGGCAGTGGCTACCAGTGCTGTCTGCCCAAATGAGGTGGGAGTGGTTGGGATCAAATACCCTTTTTCAAGAGTAGAAGGGATCTCAGAGTGCTCTGTGGATGCAAAGGATGCAATCAGCAAAATCAAATGAGCATATGCTTTTCTTAGAGGACTCACTAGGTAGACGGTGCAGTCTTTTGAAGAAAACCCAAATTTAGTGCACCCAATACACATGCACATGTATACACATCACAGGGAAAGGCACAGATGTCACACCCACCCACGGTACTCCTATACAGTGCACATACACACACACATATGTTTACAAGGCTCATCCTAAGGCTCATTTCCTTAGAGGAAATGGCTAAAAGAATAAACTGAATGAACAAACAAAATCACTCTTTTACTTGTCATCATTTTTAAAAAAGATTTATTTGAAAGAATCACAGGGACAAACGGAGAGTGAGAGAGAGAGAGAGAAAGAGAGAGAGAGAGAGAGTGAGTGAACCATCAGCTAGTTCACATCCCAAATGGCCACAATGGTGAGGGCTGGGCCAGGCCAAAGCCAGGAGTCAGGAGCCTCTTCCTGGTCTCCCAGGCAGGTGCAGGGTCCCAAGCACCTGGGCTACTGTCTGCTGCTTTCCCAGGCGCATTAGCAGAGAGCTGAATTGGAAGTGGAGCAGCTGAGACTGGAACAGGTACCCATATGTCAGTTGTCGGCACTGCAGACAGTGGCTTAATCCACTGTAATCAGGTAGTGGAGGATGGTGCATAGTAGCCAACCACTCTCAACCCTCCCAGTATTAAACAGACATTGACTATTGGAGTTGATTTTTTTTTTTATAAAAATTTTAGGTAAAGGGTTCCCCCTGCCAAAGCTCTTACTTTTTTTAAAAATGATTTACTTATTTATTTAAAAGTCAGAGTTACAGAGAGAGAGAGAGAGAGATCTTCCAATCTCTAGTTTATTCCCCAAGTGACCACAATGGCCAGGGCTGGACCTGGCTGAAGCCAGGAGCCTGGAGCTCCATCCAGGTCTTCCATATGGGTTCAGGGGCCCAAGGACTTGAGCCATCTTCCAATACTTTCCCAGGAGCATTTGTAGGGGCTGGATTGGAAGTGGAGAATCCAGGACTCAAATAGCACCCATATGGGATGCCAGCATTGCTGTGAAGTTAACCCACTGCACCACACTGCCTGCCTCCAAATTTTTTACTATTACTAAAGCTTATTATTCTTTAAAAAATTCAATAATGTTTTAGGGGCTTCTTTCTTTTAGTGAGAGGAAGTCTCTGAAAGGAATCACAATGAGCTTATCAATAAATCATGCGAAAGCAGGGGAGTTGAGTCAGCAGAAAGGACAGTAGACTGGGAGTCACCTGAACTGGATTCCAACCCCACCTGCTTTTTTTTTTTTTTTTACTATTAATGCAATCAGGCAGATTACTTTTTCTTTCTGAGAGTGAATTTTCTCATAAATTAGGGACTGTGGCAGAAATCTTTGCTTAAATACAGTACACTGACCATCATTATCTATATTCCATCTGAAGGCTCCCTCTAAAATATTTTACACACACACACACACACACACACACATTGTAAATCTCTAACCATGAGAATTCCTTTGGGGATCAAGATATCAATAAATTTCAGGAAATAAAAGACATTGCTTTGTGTGGTCACAGATCAGATAGGATAGAGAAGCCATAGGCTATAGTAACACAAGAAGAAATACAGCCATACACCTTATTAAACCTTGGAAAGATTTCGTATTCTGGGACACCAATTGTTGTAAAGGGTTGGAAAAGGTCATAGGTTGATTCACACAGGGGACAATTTTGCCTCACGTTCGGGGGACATTTGTCTGCAGAGACATCTTTGATTGTCACAACCAGGGAAATGTTCCCAATACCTACTGGTTAGAAGCCAGGGATGCTGCCTGACATCCTACAATGCACACGACAGCCCCCACAGCAAAGAATCATGCAGCCAAAAATGTCAAGAATACCAGAGAAATCCCACTCTAGACCTAACAGCTGAACGCCCACTTTTACACCCGCTCCCTATTTACAGACTCAAGGCTATCCATCACCCCTCCATGATGTAATCAAAACTCATATGTTGCATATCTAATACAAGTGCCTCGCAATACAACTGTATTATGAGATAGAGTCCTTCGAGAGGGAATTAACTTAAAATGAGACCCCAGGAATAGGTTCTAATCCAACCTGATGGTATCCTGATAAGAAAAGGAGATTGAGACTTACAGAGAGATGACTGGTTTGGGAATGTGCTGCAAGAACACAACAACAACAACAAAATGCAGCCATCAAGTCAAGAGGAGAGTCTTCAACGAAAGAAGTAACCGGCATGAGCAGTTGGCCTAGCCAAGTCCCACATCTAAATGCCTGGGTTCAGTATCTAGCTCAGGTTCCTGCCCTCAGCTTCCAACTAGGCAGACTCTGGGAGGCAGCAGGTGATGGCTCAAGTAGCTGGGTTCCTGCCACCCGTGTGAGAGATCTGGATTGAGTTTCCAGGTCCCAGTTTATGCCCAGCCCATCCCCAGTCATGGTAGACATTTGGGAAGTTAACCAGCAAATGGGAGCTCTCTTCATCTGTCAGTCTCTCTGCCTCTCAAATTAAAAATATAAAACCCTAGTGGGGCCAGCGCTGTGATGCAGCAGGTTAAAGCCCCATTCTACAGTACTGGCATCCCATATGGGCACCGGTTCTAGTCCTGGCTGCTCCAGTTCCAATCCAGCTCTCTGCCATGTATGGCCTGGGAAAGCCGTAGAGGATGGCCCAAGTCCTTGGGTCCCTGCAACCACGTAGGAGACCCTGAAGAAGCTCCTGGCTCCTGGCTTTGGATCAGTTCAGATCTGGCCATAATGGTCATTTGGGGAGTGAACCAGTGGATGGAAGACCTCTCTCTCTCTCTCTGTCTGGCTCTACCTCTCTCTGTAACTCTGTCTTCCAAATTAACAAAATAAGTCTGTAAAGAAAAAACCCTAGTGATACTTGAACTTACATTTTCATCCTCTAGAACAGTGAAATACCTACTTTTTAAGCCACACAGTTTGTGATCATTCATTATGATAGCTAACTAATATACCTACAATGTCTAAGTATTGAAAAGATTTGTCTCCAAAGAAATGGAATGACCACAAAGAAAAATTACAATATGGCTGTTATGGGTCCCCATAATTATTGTGTACTTCTCCCCATCACACAATGGGAACTGCCAGTCTGCAGGCAACATTGCCATCCCCGCACACAGAGCTCAAGATTAGCTTAGTTCCTGGTTCTCAAAAGTGATGGAACAGCCAAAAACTACCAGACTCCTGAGGGAACTCTACAACACAAAGAGAGAAGCCAAGACGAATAAGCAGCATATGTTACTCTGGAAGGAACAGAAATAGTTTAAAACGCAATTTTAAAACTTGCTAATAACTATTCCTAGAACAGGTCATAACAAGTCATGCCATCAGCCAAGTACAAATAAATAACAAGTAAAAACTGTTGTAAAATAAAAACACTACTCTGACATTTAAATAGATACTAAGTAAAATCTAACAAAACCACCAGGTATCAGAGCAAGGGCAAAGAGATGTGAGAAAATAAGAGGAAAATAAGATTCATAGAAAATCACTCCAAGGGACCCTGTTCCTGATCAATAGGGGTGACAGAAAGAGAAAGCAAAGAGGAAGAACTCATCAAAGAAATGTCACGGTGGATTTTCCTGAAGCCAAAGAACGTGAGTCTCCAAATGTTTTGTTTTTAAGATTTATTTTTTTATTTATTTGAAAGGTAGAGTTATGGAGTGAGCAGGAGAGACAGAGAGAGATCCCCATCTGCTGGTTCATTCCCCAAACATCTGCAACATCTGGGACTGGGCTGGGCCAAAGGTACAAGCCAGGAGCTTCTTCCAGGTCTTTCACATGGGCACAGGGGCCCAACCACTTGAGTCATCTTCCACTGCTTTTCCAGAAACATTAGCAGGGAGCTGGATCAGAAGTGGAGCCCCTGAGTCTCGAACCGGCACCCATAAATTATGCTGGCATCATAGGCAGAGGCTTAACCTGCTACTCCACAATGCCAGCCCTGGGCTTCCAAATTAAGAGGTCAACCAATTGCCCAAGGCAGTGAGTTGACACACATACTCAGTAATGCATCCTCATGCACACACATACGCACCTAGGCCCATCATCATACCATTTCAGTACATTAGCATTTAAAATTGTCTTGTCAGTGCCAAGCTGGCGGCCCAATATCACGAGATTCTGTGAAAGAAATGTGATGCTGGGCAGCAGGAGCAGTCCACTTGTCAGGAAGGCCTCCTGGAACCAAGGCCTGGCCGAAGGCCTCACCATACCCCATAGCATGAAGCGAAGAACGCCTGGGAACATCTGGGTGACCTCACGTGCAAGATAGGTCTTCTTGGACCCATCTTGATGAGAAGTCTAATACTGATTAATATCTTTGCTCTGATACCCCCTGCCTCCTTT